CAGTCGTCAGAACGGACAGTATCAATACCTCGAGAGACTGATTCAGAAGGATGTGAACAGGGGGTCTGAACGATTTTCTACGCGTAGCATTACGGAAAAATTTAATCAGTTTATTCCTTAGGCACAAATATATCACCACAGATTAGACAGAGAAAGAAAGATATATATATATATATATATATATATATATATATATATATATATATATATATATATATATATAGAGAGAGAGAGAGAGAGCTGTCTGGTAGGCAGTTAACGCTAAAGACATGACGGACATACAAGCAGACTAATACTGGTACTAATTATACTGGAAAATTCTATGATTATAATTTTTATGCATGTATGATTAGTTTAATTGATTTTGGAACGTGTGGTTTTGCACACACAAAAAAACATACACAATACTTACACACGGCAACATGTGTAAACAGACGTACTACCTACAAAGCATTACATGCAAATTGTATAATGCACACACATGTTTTATTATGTTAAACACACACACACACAACCCGCGGTCTGCTACAAAAAAATAATTATATATATATAATTCAAATTAACAGTAAAAAACTGGAAGTTTGCATTGGTTACTAAAGATGGAGGCGCAGCGTTTTGGGGGAATGTCCCGATTGTTATGAGTTCGAAGGTTACGTCACCCCATCATAATTAAACCTACACACACGCAGTTTAAAACTGGCGCTGATTACAACTAACACCATCAGTACACGAGTTTTTCGTTAGCTGCTGAGAAATGGGACATATTACGTATGGGAAGAATCCAAGTGCAGTAATGTCCTTCATTCATTCAAGTACAAAAAAAAAAAAAAATTTACCACTTAGTCCAAACCAATATTAAGAATTGGTCTCCACTTCCGCCCCAAAAGCAAACAGGGCAGGCAATTCACGAATTTCCGTCCTCAACATTTTCAACTTTTTCTTGCATTCATTATTTCTCTACTTCGTTCATCGTCGAGAAAACAACTGTTTAAGCTTCAAAAACAAATGCATGTTATTGAATAAAACATCCGATGCAAGGAAACAAGTGCTGTTTCTTGCGTGCAAGAGACAAATCAGATGAGAGATTGAGTAGTCAGTAGTCGCACTCACTGAGAGTGAGAGGGAGAGATGACCCTGGGTTAGTTAATTGTGGTCAGCCTATCAAAGTGACAAGTGTAGCAGTAGAGAGACGGTCGTTGGACAGTGGTAATTTTGTTTTGTGTTTTGAATTAGTGGAAATATTGTAGGTGTTTATAGTTCTTGCTGTTACTTTAATGCAAGACGGCCAAAAGCCAAGTCGTATGCACGTTTTCGACAATTCTGGGATTCATTGCATTGAATTGTTTGAAACTGGAGACATACACAAATCCGTGCAGGTTTCTGGACTTCATTTTTTATTAATTTATTATCATTAAAAATTGATGAGGAAATTATTAATATTGTAGCTGTCTGTTGATCTGTATTATGTTTACACTGTTTTGCTGCATACAAAGCATGTAGTCCTGCTTTTAGCTTGTTGCCAACTCTTCAACTTTACAAGATATAATTCTCACAAGAGAACTTCTCAGTTTGTGACTTGGGTATGTTTTAGTAAACTATAAACTACAATAAACTAGTTACTTCAGTAACTTTTTTCAAGGAAAAGAGGAAATTAATGTTATTGAAGGCCAGCAAAATCATTAGATTATTACTTTGTAATTTTTTACCATTGCTTGATTACCTTTCTATCATACTTGATCAAGTTGATCACAGCGATTATATAACAATGTAGGTAATGGTCTCAGCTAATGTAATTTCACCTGTTAATCAAGGAAAATTCTGGTCATGATTAAAGAAGGCTATCAGTCAGTTCCCACTTTGTCGAAAACGGGCTACCCCGTAATTGCTCCATTCCTGAGCCAGTGAAAATGTTCAATGCTGTCCCACCTGAAAAGTTAGTCGGCACTCTCGGCTAAGTGCAACATCACACGCCCATATCAAATGCATAAGACAGCTGCTAGAGTGCCAACACCTACAGTCTGTCACTACATTGCTCTTCATGGTTGATGCAGGTACACACACATTACTGCATAAAGCACACTGACACTTCTGTAACATCCAGCGATTTGCTAACTTCTTAGTTTACTTACAACATATCTCTAGAAGCACAGACAATAAGCATTCCAAGTGAAATTCACAGCTCACTGTATCACACCATATACAGAAATCATTAGCTGGTTGATGGGACCAGATTTCAACTTTACCTTGTTTGTTGTCCCATCCAATTTCTCAGTCTCATTGTTGTTGACTGCGATCATATTACTTCCAGACAGTGTCAGCAACCTCTATGTCCTATTGTTGCAGCCTCTTAGTTGTGACTTAATACATCTCTTCTTCATCTTTTTCTGCATGTTCATTGGCTGTAAACTCTGACGGAAAGCTCTGGTTGTTCATCCACTTTTGGACTTTAGTCTTGTTGTAGAACTTGAGTGTTGCATGCACTTCTGTTTCACAGATCTGGCTTATTTGTATTCAGACAGTTGGTTACTCACCTCTCAGAGAGGTGTAGTCAGACTTAGATGGGAACCCGTAATTAGTCTGATCTTACGATGTGTTTATTAGGAAGCCAATGCGCCCCCCCCCCCACACACACACACAAACACACAATGAGGCCCTAGAATCTACGCAGGAGTTTGATGCTTTTTATTTAGCTACCTCTCTTGACTGTCAGAAGGACATTAACTGTTGCCATTACTTGTCAAAATTGACAGTAATTAAGTTAGTAGTATTGACATGCAGTTTCAAGTCTATAGCTGCTTGTTATTCAAAACAGTAACTCGACGACTTGATGCATGACATGCTTGATGTGATTGGAGCTCTTTGAGAGCAAGGGGACAGTGCAAAAAATGCAAGTAGATTATTACAGTGCTAACAGAAAGGTGTGGTGGTGAATGACCAGGGGATCTGGTAAACACTGTCCACTTAGAGGAAAGGCAGTACGGCTGTATAATCAAACTGCTACTGGTACAGTCAGAACTGGAACTCTTCACTGGCTGTTAAAGAGGAGTATGGACTGAATATAGGAATATCTATGAGTGCTGTGTTGTCAGTTCTTGACTCAGTATAGCTGCTTCTTGATATTTGTCCCCCTATATTTTTTTTTCACCCAAAATTTGAGTCTAAGTTCTTATATGTTGGGAGAAAGTGTTAAAGTTCCAGCACTTGCGGATTATGGTTCTCCTTCTTCTTAGCATTCACTGTAAACACTGTAAGCTGTGTTTGTTCATCCAACTCTCTGGACTTTAGCCTTGTTCCATAACTTGGGTTTTGGCTGCACATCCATTTTACAAATCTGACCTATTTATATGCAGACTGTTGGTTTCTCATCTCTCAGGCCAATACACTGTGACTGTGCAGTAATAAACACCCCTAATTAGTTGACTCTTCCAACACTCTTTTTTTAGAGGTGGAAAGGGGGGAGGGGAGGGAGGTGCAGTCAATCTGTTTCATGTTTCACAACACAGTGGGATCCTAGGATCTGCCTGGGGTGGTGGGGATTCTGATTAATAAAGTATGTCAGTTTTATTTTTTTATATTTTAATATGTTGTTTCTAAGATTCTTGTATCATACATGTTTGTTTTTTCCAGGGAGAGTCAAATAAGGGTGTCTGTTGACTCTGAAAATTCTTGACTGGGAGCAGGCAGCAGAAAGCTATATCAGTGGTTAGAATTCAAGAAGTTTATATATAACTCACAACTGTACCGATTTATTGATGAGATGGCGTTTTCATTAAGAAGCAGATTTTCATTCAGACGTCACCATCATCATCAGGTTCCACTTCTGCAACATCAGAAGTCAACAGTGTACTGAAAGAATGTTGTTTTTTAAAGAAATAAATGTTATGGAAACCACAGTGCTTTTCTTTACAGTTCTCCTGTTGTAAGCATTCTGTTGAGTAGTCTAATAAACTGAGTAATTTATACACTTTGTAATTTATACACTTCATGTTTTTGAATGAACTTAAATTTGCTTGAATTGATGCATCTTTAGAAACATTTATCATTGCTTAATACCAAAGATTACAAAATACCTTTATGTTCAAATTGTGGAAGATGCACTTTCGTTTCTTGAATATGAAATATATATATATTTAGACTATTGTGAATAGAGAAATATAGAAGCTATGGTGATTGTGTATATTTATTGTAGAACCCTTTCACAGTAGTTTCTAGTCACATTATAGCGGTTGCTTGGAAGAAAAGTGTGAGAACTAAACAGAATATTTGGATCATAACATATTTGGACTAAAATATTATTCTATTGTTGTATAACGTAATACCAAAAGATTTACTTCATATGTTGTCACTTGTAACATAGAACAGTTTATATAGAGTTACATACAGACAGTATTAGCATTGTATGTGTTTTATATTGAACATATATAGTTGGTGTGTACGAGCAACATAATTTGTGACTATGTATTCTAGTAGAGCAGTGATGTAACTATGTTTATATTTTAGAAGTATATGTTAATGTTTAAAGTGATTTCTATGGACTCATTTGTTACTTGAGATCATTTGAGCCAGTTGTTGTTCTCTCTACATTTACAAAGACAGAAGTACTTAACATTTTCATAAAAAGATTGTTTCTACATGAATCTGATTCGGGCACTGTAACTATCTTCTAACACATGACATTCTTTGGCTTGAGCAACTAGACAGATTGTGTCAGACACACAGGTTGTGGCAACTCTTTGGTAGAAATGAATGACTACAATAACATCAAGATGGGACAGTTTAAAAATGACCCACTGCCACTGGCCATGGCATCAGTTCCTGTGTTCTCAAGGCCTATGCCTAGTGCCAGCAACCTCTTCCAGAATCCTTCAGTGTCTTCAGCATATGGCTTCAATATGGATGCCACCATGGGACACTCACCCGCCCTCTACAACCATCCAGCGCCACATCTTCCTGATGCAAACAAAATGAGCTCACGACCACCCGATCCAGATCCTCACCGCATGGGCCACAGTTTTCCGAAAGCTTTGCCTCCTCCGATGCTGTACCACAACTTTACACCCCTCAATTCCTGCAACATTGTCACCACAAATGGCTTCTTTAATCTGAATACCCCATCGGACATGCCGAAGCATTCCTTTGAAGAAGTATTAAACATTCCGCCAGCCTTTAATACAGACTCCACCATGAATGCCCAAATGATGATGCCTAAAACACACTACCATGAGCTGATCAGTTCGGTGGCATCAGAGAACCGGCATTATTTTCAGGATCCTGCAAATTCGTTTGTACAAAACTTGAACACCATTCCTCATGATTTACAGATGACTGAAGCAAGAAAACAGTCAAGATGTTACAAAACAGAATCAAAAACAGTTACCAATATAGTGTCAACAGACAATGTTCAAGTTAAGAACAATAACCCTGTAGGTAATGACATAGATAAAGACAATCTGATTGACAAATCAGCTGATGATGTAGTGGCCAGTGCTAATATAATGCCTAATGGTTATGATAAGGATGCATATAAATGTGGATTTTGTGAAATGAAATGTTTAAGCAGCGAGATCCTTCTAGATCATCTGAATACCCATACAAATGTCCTTCCATATCACTGTGGTATTTGTGGTGCAGCTTTCATTGATGTCAATCAGTTGATGAGACATGTTCGGCAGTCACACAATGTCAAGCCTCCTTTTGCTTGTGGTCTCTGCACTTCTACCTTCCATCAGAGTGAGGAACTGAAAGAACATATTGAGACCCATGAGAAACCTCCCAGCATTAATAAAATTAAGCTACCCTCAGCCTTTGTGGTTAAGGAGAAGATAAAGAGCTTGGATAAAGCTGATGAGAGTCCAAAGGAGGAGGAAACAGAGGAAGAAGCAGATGATGATGATGATGATGAATTTGAAACAGAAAATATGAATTCCTCAGCCTTAATGAATTCTACTGCGAACACGATCATAATTAGTAAGGACACAAATTTTAGTCTTAGAAAGGGACCATCAAAGATAGTCATGGATGATGTTGATCTGAGTTCAGTATGCACTGTGATTATTGAACCTTCAAGCGCAGGAGGTATTCGGAAAAAGCATTTGTTCAAGTGTAACTATTGTGAAAAGGTGTGCAAAGATAAGGGTTCATTAGTGAGTCATGTCCGAACCCACACAAAAGGAAGACCTTACGAGTGCAATGTTTGTTTAGCACGATTCAAGCAGTACGCTCATCTCAGTGATCACGTAATGACCAAACATACAAAAGACCGTCCATTTGTCTGTGATCGCTGCGCGAAAACTTTTAACAGGAAATCACATCTTCAAGATCACATCCGGCTCAGACATACAGACGACAAGCTTTACCACTGTTCAGATTGCAGTGCTACATTTCAGAAACGGACAGAGTACTCAGAACACAAGAGAATCCACGGAAAACCTCCAAAGTACCAGTGCAACCTTTGTCCCAGGCAGTTTAGAAATGTGACAGACTATGAACGTCACATTCGAAGTCACACTAAGGAGAAACGTTTTGAATGTGAGGTTTGTCATTTGACATTTGGTCTGCTGGCCAACGCCAAGAAACACATGGTTAAGCACAGTGAAGACAGACCTTTTAAATGCGAAGTCTGTCCTAAAGCTTATCATTTTGAACATGACTATAAGCGTCATCAATTAACACACATAAATAAAAAACCATTCCCTTGTACAGATTGTTATAAATCATTTAAAAATGCTTCTTTGTTGAAGAAACATAGCAAAGAAGCTCATATGAAATCTGAAGAAGATCCAACGAAGAAACCATTCAAATGTTTGACTTGCAGGAAAAGATTTAAAATTCAATGGGATCTCGATCGGCATAGAAAGATTCATGCCAAGAAGAAACCATTTCTTTGTTTGTACTGTTACAAATCGTATGGAAGTGAAGCAATGTTAGTGAAACACACCAAGGTTCACGAAGGACAAGATTTACCTCTTTATGATCATTCTAAAGATCTCATTGATGAGTCACTAACTGAAGCAAATAGGAAGAAGCGAGGACGGAAATCAAAGTTAAAAAATGAACCAGAAAGTAAAATTCATTCAGATGAGACCGCTTCCAAAGCTGATGAGAAACTGAAGAGCAGAGGAAGACCTTCCAGACAGAAAACAGAAATCCATAGCCAGCGTGCAGGGTTATTGAAGCTGTCACTCAGGCGGAAGAAAATAAAGGAAACAGCTGAAAAGTCTGCTCCCAGAATCAAGGTTAGACTGCGACATAAACAACTCCGTAAAAGATCGTTCCGTTGTCCTGACTGTAACCAACCATTCTTGAATGAAGCCACACTTAAGAAACATTCTAAGATTCATGAGGAAGAGTACAATGATAATACGGAGGATGACAGTCAGCAGTGTCTGTATCAGAATGATAGTAAAAATGAAGGAGCCACAAATCTGGCATCATTTAATAAAAATGCTAACGATGCAACCTCAATAAATGATTCATCACAAGTAAAGAGAAATGATCGTTTGAATAAGGGTGTATCAAGAGGTGATGACAGCACTCAAGATGAAGACACAAGTTGTGATAATGATGTTGATGATGCCACCAGTTGGAACAGCAGCAGTGAATCGCAGCATGATGAGAACTCGGCTTTAGAATTAGTCAGCATCAAAAGTAAAAAGACAATTGTAAAAAAGAAAACTGGTGTGCCTTTGTGTAAACATATCGGTAGCTGATATTTCCTGGATTTTCTTCTTCTGCACACATTCTTTAATGTCAGCGTGAATACTTCAGTTGAATACTGTCCACTTTCTTTTAGCTGTTCATTCTCTTCAGTTTTAAGATTTCAGGCTTATGAATCAATATTGGTAAAAGGTAACTTCATTGCTTCTTGTTAACCCTTTCACTCTTGTAATGCTAAAGAAGTAAATAAATCATGACCCAATCGTATTCTCTAAAAAAAAATCCTTTTAAAACAATTTTACAACATGTCACTCATAAATAATTGTAATAAACAAATTATTTGTTTACATTACAATTTTTTTCTTGAAATATATGAAAATATGTAAATAAAGTAATCGATAAACATGAACAGAGGGAAGCATTAAACTAAATACATCACCTGGAGCCCATAATCTATATCAGTGGTTCATGCTGTGACCCCATGACCTCAATCACTGAGATTTACAAGGAAATTTGACCTCAACTTGGTTTATAAAACCATTAACTTTTAAGATAAAAATAACCTTAAATGTTATTTTTTGTTGATTCGTTCGCATCCTGACTGACTTTATAAACAGGTGGGAACACAGCCAATAGCATTAACACGTCTTGTAAACAGATCGCTATAAACAAGTCAAAAAAGGTACATTTACAGAGAATTGGCCCCAACAGGAAGTGTTGATTTTGCTGCTGCATAGAGTGATAGGGTTAATAGCACAGGCTCGACACTTGTCATTTTATTTGCAAGGTCAAGGCAGAAGTTGGAAATTTAATTGTTTGGCTTATTGAGGAGATAGTAGGTAAATTTGGAAATTTAATCATTCAGCTTATTGAGGAGATAGTTAGTAAGTTTGTTTTCACCGGTAATTTTTACAATTTATTCACATCTGGTAGGCTTGATTTCAACTGTTGACAGTGCTTGACGGTGAGGAACCTGTTTATTGAAAACATATCTATCAATAACAGTCAGTGTATTGCATGCATGGATTATCGTGTGTTTAAATATTTGTACCCACACACACACAGAATCAACTAGACTTTTCTTAACTGGTATCCTCCTGTGAACCATACCTCATTCAGGAAGTACTGACATTGTAAACGATACCACAATCTGCCTTAATCTGATCCTGAAGCATTTGAGTTCCTGGAGATCGCCATGGATTTCTGGAGGCTTAGTGGTAATCAATCATAAAGTAAAATGGCAGAATAATCAGATCTGCAGATATAATATTGTTTTCTACTGACAAGAGCAATGTACAAGAGACCAGAATGTGACAGACCAGAAACTGGTATAAAAATTAGCTTTTATTTTTGTTAATTTAACTCTTGTCTTGGATGTTCTGTGATCACTTTTCTCTATCTTCTGGAAGCGCCTTACATTGAAATTTGTGTAAATGTTATCCATAATCAAAACGTTAGTTGCATATTCTTTACAATAAGTTGCTGAATCAACCCTAGCATTTGTAGACAGTTTTTCTACTAGGCAGTGTTTTCAGTTCAGTAGTTTGTATTTGTATTAGACCAGTTGGTGCTCCAAACTCCTGTCATAATCAACACAAAGCAGTCTATGCCAAATTGCCTGCAGCTGGAATCAAACTGGATATTTTGGAGCCACAGACAGCCACAATCAAACAAGCACAAATCCGTGTGTGGGTTTCGGGGCCCTATTGAAGGGGGGGGGGGGAATAGACCCACTGCCTACCTAAAAGCATTTCGTAAGAGTGGACTAATTGGCAGCTTCCTTCGAAGTCGAAGTGCATCTGCGTCAGATACAAGGAACCAACAGTCTGCACACAGTTGATTCAGATCTTTAAAACAGATGTGCACACAACACTCAGGTTCTGGAACGAGACTGCAGTCCAGAAGTGGACGAACAACCATAACTTTCCGCCAGAGTTTACAGCAGGTGAGCGCAAAGAAGAAGAAACGAGCACAATTTAAAAAAAAAAAAGATGTTTAATTTTAAAAGAAACAAAACCAACATTATAAATGCAGCAATTATTATTGAAAGTAATCAAAGACTGTGTTCTTATTGCAAACATATGTGAATATATTACCTGCCATTACAACTCATGTACAACTGTTATTGTGTGAAAATATTTGGCATTTAGATATGTGTTTACATTCCTTATGTTTTTGCTAAATGTGTTGAAATAATCATTTCATGACTGTTATCCATTGCTTTGTTTGCATAATTGTAGCCTGTCTGTATGAGCAGTATCTGTTAGTATTATTGATAATAATTGCAGTGGGAGTCACTGTGCTGCAGCAGCGAGATGCTCGCCTGCGGATCAAGAGTCATGGATTCAGGTCCTGACGCAGCTGAACTTTTTTTTCTCTTCAAAAATGGCCTTGGCTGCTAGGTCGACCCAGCCTTAAATGGGTACCAGGTAAAGTCCTGGGAAGTAAAGAAGCCTGTATGAAGCTGACATGGCCCACCAAGTGCTGATTGGTCTATAAAATATAGGTCTAGCCCTGTCTGCCCATAACGCCTGAAAGCATGTAAAAGGGTTCTTTATTTTAGTAACAACAATATCTAGGCCTCATAGGTGTTGTTGTGTGTGTATAAATGGCCCATTTCATGCCAGTGTTGCACCAATCATATAGTGCTAGAATCATATTTTTGTACCTTTCGAAGTTGGATTGTGTCTGCCTGAGAGGCCAGGAGTGTGCTTAGCAATAAGCCAGATGTGTGAAGCAGATTGTGCTCTGGAACAAGATTACAGTCTAAAAGTGGGCCAAGAACCAGATTTTTCTGTCAGAGTTTACCGCTGGTGAACTCCAAAAGAAAAAGAAGAAGAAATTTGTATAGACCGGTCAGCATTCAGTGGGGATGTGGGCAGCACCGGCACAGCCGCCTTTACTTTCAGGACCTGGATCCCATGTTGAGCGGGGTAAGGTCATTAAAATAAATTCAACCTGATGCAGATTTAAACCCAAGACCTTCAGCCTGGCAGGCCAGGGTCCAACCACTATGCTACAGCTGCTTCCCATATTCTGTGTAGTGTTACATACTTTAATAATAATTTTATGTCATATTATACAACACTTTGACATGGTGGTCATGTCTTCTTGGAGATTAGGTTTTTAAATAAAAATGTATTTGTGTTCTCAGGTTGACCCAGCCTGACAGAGATTGCAGAACGAGTTATGAGTTAAGAACCAAATCGTAGCACTCCGGACATTCCCATAAGTGCTTCATCCCTACCTTAAGAAGCAAGCACAGAGTTCCAATCCCAGTAGTACCGTAGCAGTCTGATTGTATGTCGGTTTTCCCCTTCCCTAAGTGTTGAGCATCAGTGACATCTCTGCTCACTCCTGACCGCACCATTTTCACACTGTGATGATTTATTTGTCCTTCCGCACTGTTTACTCCCACCCAAAGGACCCTTTACAACATCTAGCTTGTCATGCATAAGTTTACCACAGAGTGGTGTAGAATCAGCTTATTTATCTGTCTGTTCATTTCCCAACACACCGGCATAACCTGGAGAAAATATCCAAAGGTTGCAACTACCAGAGACTCTGAAGCGATGCTTCCAACTCTGCCTGGAATTTGACTGTCTCCATCTTTCTCAGCATGCTCCGTGAGTTAGTTGAAATAACAACATGTGTGTACTACTGACTCTCAAACCAGTGGAAGGCTGCAGTGACAGCCTCCACCTCCATTCTCAAATTAGATATTGTCGTATCATATGCCAGACATTGTTGCACTAAGCGACATTCATTCGCTTTAAAGAAGATTCCAGAAAATCTTCTGTGGAGCAAATGATCTGCAGTGGTATTAATCACATTACCCGTCGAGTGATAGAAGAATAATTGTTCCGGTAACATGTACTCACTAGACCAGAATTGACTGGCTGTTTGATCATTATCATACCAGCTGCTTTTGCTCAGCCGAACATTGGTTGGTTATCTATTTTAGGCTGGGTCAGCCACGGGAAAATTGTTTTTCAACCATGTGCAACTACTGATCTATTGTAACTTCTGCTTCCATTGACAATGAATTGCATTTCTAGTGCCAGACTGTCTGTGTTAGCACTTCTGAAAGCTGCCTTTTGAGTTTAATGCTTGTTTATGCTATTAGCTTTTCTGAGACTGCAGTCTGTGTCAAGAGAGCAAATCTGGGAATGCCTTAGTTCTACCGGATTTTACAGCCAATGAAAATGAGGAGGAGGAAGACAAACCTTCACCTTAAAGAAGAGTTTGATTTGGGAAAAAGCTTCCTTGACTAGTTTTACTTTATCCTGTGGTCTTAGGTGGGAACCCACGGAAGGGCAGATTTTTTATAATTGGCAAACGGCTCCCAGATTGATCTAGCCTGCAGTGGGCACAGAGAAATTACCTGGGAAGTAAAGATGTCTGGCACGATAATGACTGCATCACCCATCCAATACCAACTAGGTATAAAATGAATGAAAAAATCAAGAATTGATATCACTGCATTCGGGACATTCCCACATGTGCTCCGTCTCCTTCTTCAATTGCCAACCAAGAGTTGACATTCCTCCGTTTTCCCCCCAGTGTTGAGTATCTTCCAGAAGCTCTACTCACCCCCTGTTGAATTAGTCTTTCAGTGTCTGGATTCCCTATTTGTTCTTTTTTACTGTCTGTTTGATCCCATAGAGCCTTCACCACATAGCTTTATCATATAGTAGCTCCCCACCCAGAGGAGCTGCAGCAGCCAGTCTATCAGTATGCTCGTTACCTCGCACACCTGAATCTAGGTATAAAACAAAGCTTCCAGCATCATGTTTCCATTGTCCTAATGGCAGAAAAAGATACCTTTGTCTTTATTATAAACATTGCTGTATTCTTCAGTGACAGAACACATTGTTAGCAGCTGCATATTATGTTAATAGCATTTGTAAACTAGCAACAGTGTATGGTGTTGATGTCAGTTGTTATCTTCATTGTTATTAGCTTGAATAGCATCAGGGATTTATGCCTATTGAATATTTGTTTATAAATATTCCTTGATTGTTTCTGTTTCTGTGTTTGTTGTTTAAATTAT